CTGCTAATCTCGTCTGCTTTTTAGACACTCCCTGATGCAAGTACTTTGAAATCCACTATCAAGTCGGTGCTATTGTTGTAATGATCACTGTGAGGTGAGATATTTTGTGCAAGGGCTGAGTGTAATGCCCAGGAAATGACCTCCATTCGCCCCCTGACCGGTCAGGGTTATAAAATTTGAGTGGATGGCGGTCCGTTTGGGGTTCAGATGTCAATTGTATTTTGTTACTGTCAAACAATACATACATGTTATGCTGGCAGCGAATGTGTGTAACGTCGTTTTTCGAAACAGAAGTTAGAACTGTAACGGCAGAGTGCTTGCTGGTCTCATCGTAAGTATTGTAAGTGTTGTAAGCAAAAGCATTGTCAATATTGTAAGTATTGTGAGCATTGATGTATGGTAGATATCACCTCACATGATCTCGGCTCAGATAACCCTCTCCGGTGTCCCTGTCAGTAAATGGCACCTGGATCATTACAGATAAGATAATTTGTCATAATTCTTAAAGAATTGGGTGGTTTTGACTCGTTTACTCGAGGTGCAGGTCGCATTTCAATACTTTTCCATAGGCTTGCAATGTAAAGGTCACGACTCTGACCTAACCTCAGGTCACAGATCAAAAATTCTGAGATATACAAACGACACATACTGCAGGTACTGTTTTGAAGACTTGATGAGAGGAAATAACTTCGTGAAAAACTCAAGCTCTGACGTGTTTGCAAACTTTTCTGAGGTGGGGTCAACAAACCCGCTCTGGTTACCTGACCTGACCTGACCCGGCATTTTTTTTTTTGCTGAGATTTGCGCAATGAGCATTTAGGAAAAGTCACCAAATATGAGCTGAATGTCTCGCGGCGTTTGGCAATTGTACAAGAAAATCCTGAAAGGTCTCCCCGTCCGAAATAGGGTTAATGTGTATATGAAGAGTTGCAGATGCCAAACATACCCAGATCTAAGACTGCAGTTCCCAGCGCCGCTGCAACGTTTTTAAAACAAACATACATAGGACATACAAACATGTTTATTTGCATCTGTTTTGGATAATAGCAACTCATGGCGCCATCACCCGCGATAACTGTTAGGATTTGAGATATATTTTTATTTAGGCCATTAGTTTGGCTGTAATGTTTATTAATATTAGTTGGGCGGAGTTTGGTAGTTTTTTATTTAACTTGTGGTATGTTGTGCTGATTGCGGGTTGTTCAAACCTTTCAAATGTAAGGACCTTATTGAACTCAACCCTACCCCTACACTACCCTACATACGACTGGACGCTTTCCAAGCCCACAAGCACCACGACGCCGAGATGGAATGTAGCCGAGAAATCACCCTCGCCATCTGCTCTAGAGCTAATCGTGTGGGGCGGCGTGTGGGGCGCCGCTTAGCCTATGGGGGTGCACTTCTAGTGGATGGGGGACGGGGGTGCACCTGCACCCCTTTCATATGGAAAGTTACTTCCCTGATTACAGCTCCCCGTATTGCACCTAATCAGGGAACGGCCAGCAAACGAAGGAACTATTTCTGGATGACAGGCGAATAACCGCTCACGCAAGGAGCGGAGCTCCGCCCCGTCCAAAGTGGCCAACAAAGCAGAGACAGAGGCAGCATCACATCTTCCATCAAAGAACTGGTTTCTGGCTTGGAAGATGAGCTCCATCTTTGCATCCGAGTCGGTGCTGTCAGGAATCAGCTGGTCTAATGGAGTGAGAGTAGTGAGACGACTAGCTATTGTATCAGAGCTGCCTGGTCTTCGTAGCATTTGCACCGATTCTTCTCGATCGGACTCTGAATTCTGTCCCTCCTGCGTATTACTTGAGGCATTGCTATGTAGCAGAGTTTCATTATCCATGCTTTGCAAACAGTGCCATAACAACACAGTTAATTAATCACCAAGCTTCTTTGCAAGTTCCAATACAGTTGAATCGCACGCGATTTGAGTGCAAAAATCAAGAAAAGTGCCAACTTGTTCCCGTAAAATATTTTGAATATTGACCTAAAAAAAATGAGTAATTTCCAGATAAAATAACAGCGAAATCAGTTTTCGCTTGCCAATAAAACTCACAGATATTGAAGCTCCATTATTAAAGGAACATTTTAGTATATGCCATTCTTGATAAAACTTCTAAGCCACGCAATACCAGCGCAAAATAAAGAGACACTGAAAACACGACCAATCACTCCGAATTACCATAGGAAAATACATAGAAAATGTATGTCTCAACTGCGCCAAATATACAGACACTTATATACCTACATGTGACGTCATGATTAGCCCGACCAATCAGAAGCAAGTCGTTTTCAGCCACAAATAATTAATTTCTGAACTAACTAGGCATTTTTTTAACAAAGTGATTTTAAATTAAATCATTAAAAATTCTGAACTTTTTTATTTTACCAAAACATACAGAGCATGCAGATAGGTCCCAACCCTATTACACCATTTCATCGAACACTAGCCCACGCTGTTTATAATACAAGTCTAACTCATTTTTAAAATTACTTAAGGAGGAACTATTGATAACTCTAGGAGGTAAACCGTTCCAAGCTTCTATGACCCTACTGGTAAAAAAGGACTGATGATACATGCATGTACATTGTACATTGTACATGCAACTAGCAGCACTTCTACGGTTGTCCGTGTCATCTTCCTGTAATGGCAATTAGTAATGCGTTCGGTTCTCAGAAAACGGGCATTCTGTGCTGATATCATTGCCTTGTATTATAATTGTTTTATGGCTGTTAATGACAAAAACAGCGCTAAACGCTAACCCGTCCCTGACGCTAGCGACCTTAGCCGATTCATGGGAACCGGCTCAGTGATCTGCGTCAATTAGGCTGACACAGTGGTCGGCTGCCACTGATCGCTCTCGTCCGGTTTCACACGCTCGCTGGTTCCGGGGACGCGACTGTGACAGGGACTGAAGCGTGAACCTGACCCACCTATAACCGGGCTAGTCAGTGGGGCGGTTAGACTGTGCGTTCCGGGGCGGGGCGGGATGGTTGTATGATGTATCGGTACTGCACCCATTGCGTTACATATGAAATGAGGGTAATCATGACTTCATGTCAGGATTGGGTGGTTGGTGATGAGTTAAGCTCATCTTTACCTCATTCGCATTATCAATTATGGGTCAGGTCAGGGTCAGGTCAAGGTCAGGTCAAGATGGGGATTAACAGAGGACCATGAGGTCACTTAATGAGGCAGTCGGCTCTATGAGTCACGTGATTTGCCCCCCCCCCCCCCCCTCCCGAGTCGTCCGTTTCACACGCGGGTTTGTGCTACAATGACACATTGTTCATGAGCGCTATACGAAGCCATTCATAGGACATGGTTCACCTGATTGGCCGAGGAAATTTGCTGTTCATTCTCTTCCTCTTCCCATTCACCTTCCTCTCTGGGCATTCAATCAAACAACAATCGCTCTTTCTTCTGAACACTGTCAAAAGAATTGTACGTGTGCCTGAGTGATAATTCATATTTCCGTAAGCGACTGGTGTCTGAGGCGATTGACATCGTTTTTTTGTGTTTGTGTTATCAGAACAATACATGGGAAAACAGTTCCACTGCCGCTGACTGATAGAGCAGGTGATTAAGGTTGATAGTTTTGGCATCTGTCAAAATATGCGCTTCAAGGAAGGTCAGGGGATTCTCCCTGTTCCATTATGCATTGTGAGGGCGATGAATACGCTGGTCTTAATTACGGAAGATGGTGACTAATTTGTGATTAATCTAATCTACAGACGCAGCTTGTTGGTGTTTTCTTCTTTTTCTTTTCTTTTTTTTTGTCTGGAGTCGCAGTGACGTCAGCTTGCGGTGGTGGGGCTTCAAAACACCGCCCGCGGACCGCCCCTGAGGCCCCGTCGGCTTAGGCAGCCTGTTCCCGCACCCAGACGGGCTTCGCTCGCCCCCTGTGGTGGCCAAAGCCGATTGTGGCCACCGCGGGGCTTCACGTTTTTTTCGTGCGTGTCCGGAAACGTGACTGCGTGTCGCGTGAGTATGTGAAGGGAGCTATGACGAACTAACGACGCTATTATAGACAGTAAACACAGCGCTGGATACGGAGAAGAACTTTTCGCAGCTGGAAGCGATGATTGTCTTGAGGGATATTTTTTCCAATTTTTATGCTTAATTTTGTTTTGTGTGGCTGATAAGAAAAGATACAAAGATAGCTATTGTGATGTCTGTTCCTCTTCCTTAATTGACAAAGATATTCTTATTTTGAAAGTGAGTGATGCGAATGTCTTTATGCTGATGATAATGAGCCATTGTAGTCGTGTTGGTGGCCATTATTCAGTCGTCGAGGAACTCTCCTCCCCAAAAACGTCGGTCTATGTTAATCAGCTGCGAGGTAAATCAATGTTTATCTGGAACCCCCGGCTGTTTGTTCGGTAAAGCTGCCCTTGGGCGGGCCTTGCTCCAATCGGCCGCTCATTTTCCGCACGCCGCTGGATGATTATTCATTATACATTCGGCGAAGGAGTGATGGACGCGTTTTCCCCGGCGATCACTCATTCCTACCCGTCGATCAATGGTAGAACTGTTCCGCCCGATTGGCTCCGATGGCTCCTTTAGCCACCGTGTCCACCCGCCGTATGCGGCCGAGACAGACCCCCTGAATGGAGTATTGTTTATTGTCGCCCGCATTGTGAGACTCCACTGTGCATTGTATGCGCGGAGTATTGTGCGCGGTTTTCTGGCCGGAACTGGACGGCCTGTTTCTGGTTTGGAGATGGGTTACGGACCGAGTATTCGTTTCCTCCGTTTATCTGACTTTGTCTCGATTTGAGAAGTATCCGTTTTTTTTTTAGTAGTCCTATTACCTCATATTCATCGGCAGAATTTCGCGAGCACAGGAAAAAGCATGTAATGACGGGTTATCGTGTCCTTTTGTTTCACCCATGACTCTTCAGTATTCACAGCTTCCTGTAACCCAGATCAATCTATCATCCCTCCGGGCTCCGACTAACCCTCAGGCTAACATTTAACCCTCTGTTTTCAGATTGACCTGGGCGACTACACGGCTGAGCGCGCTCGGGGATCGGCTGCCTCGGTCAACCATCACCAGGTGGAGAGGTGCCTGGAGAGATTCTTCCCGCATCGGTACCGCGAGAGGTGCAGCCAGGACGAGCGCAGGTCAGTCGTCGACAGGGACAGAGACGGGTCAGTGAAGGTTTCAGGGAGTCGTGCTGAGGGCATACGGTTTGCGATGTGGCTAGAGATCAGGCGGGTCATAGTAGTGTGGGACGGAACCATGTTGGTCACTGTGTGAGGATACGGGTCACAATGGGAAAGGTCAGAAAGGTCACTCGTAGGGGACTAAGAAAGAGTCGCTGATGGGTCAGAGGGGTGGGTTCGAGCGAGTCAAAGTGGGGAGCGTATGGATGGTGATCGGTTCTTCCAGACACGGAGTTTTTGCACGTGCGGTATTGCTGCGGCTAAGCCGCCTTCAGCCGCGATAGGGGCAGTGTTAATTAATGACGACATCCGTTTGCGATTGGAATGCCGGCCCGGCTGCCTTGTCGGTGGAAAAGGAGTTGCGGTGGAGCGAGGCTTGTTCTTCCTGCAATAATATGCCGAATTGTTATGTTCGTGGTGAGGTGATATATAACCAAGCCCTCTGTTACATGCCTCAGACATGCTTATATAATGGACGCAGCATGCTTCAGTCATGCTGAACAAAGGCAGAACAATGCGGCATTTATTATTGGATTGTGCGGTTTGTTGTCCAGCAATTCAAAGAATTAATACTTGCTATGACGTCGTAATAGCTAGGAAACTTGCAGTGGTTAGGCTGTTTTGCGTTTATGAGACTTTGTGTACAACACGCACGTTTTTACAGCGGAGGTTAAGTGCACGTTTTAAGCAACTTATGCACGGCAACTTCGGTACGACGCAAAAATACAGCAGATACGGCATTTATAATGAAACTAAATTTCGGTCAGTTTAGTATTCTGCCCGTAGGTAGACACTCTTATCGCTATTGGGGATTGGATTTCAGCTCTTACGGCCAGCCCACTCAGCTCTAAGCAGGTGGCATTACCATTCCATCGGCTCTTATCCGATTGTTATTAAGCCGCTGTGCCGGGATTCGCGGTAATCCGAGAGCTCCCAGTGGCTTCTGTAGCCGTCAAATTATGCTGCACCAGTCATCTTTCCTGGAAGCTAAGCCGCACCTTATCGGCTAATTTTACACCGATCGCCAATCATCCCCGAGCCCCTGTCAGTCGATCCGACCCCACTGCCCCATCACCCGCCCTGGCCACATATGTAAACCGATTGGAAAGCTGTGTATAAAACTCCACTTCACTGCAATCCGGGGGGCCTGCCGGCTCTGAGATGCTCGTTTGCAGGCTGACGTAGTATGTGTGGCATGTTAGAGAGCTGGGAATTTCCTGGGATGTGACCATGACAATGACGAAACATCGTCTTGAGATGCGGCACACAACCGGTGATGGTCGGAAGTGGCGGCGACCCCGGCGGTAGGGTCAGGCGGAGGGGGAACTGCAGGCGCTCCAGGGCAGACTTATCATGTGCATCCCCCAGCCGTATAAAAGTGATGGTTTGATGGGACCAGTGTCTAGTTTGCGAACGGATGACGTATGTTGATTTTCCCGGCCTCGCCGGGACGAGCTGACTCTGCCACATCAGACATCTCATCTCTGGGCTTTCCTAATGCCGAATTGATGAACATCTGCTTGCAACTGAGATAGCAGTAATTTATTGTTTGTTGGATGGTTGACTGATGCCATCCCTCGCTGAAGTTTTGTCAGAAATAGTAGGCTTGCTACATTCCATAACTTTTATGCAGCTTGATAAACGTGACTTTTCCCCAATACAAGTTGATGGATATGCTGAAGAAACATTTTGATAGAGCAAGATGGAAACGTTAGTAGCCATGGCACACCGTAAAGGTATAAGGCAGATGTTCTGAGTTTTTTCTTACCCTACGGTGCCTTTCACGGCGCTGCCTCTGATGCCAGCCCGTGTGTCCGCCTGTCTGCCTGAGTTCTGTCCAACACACCGTCCTGTCCGCTCACATTAGTACTAAATCCTTTGTTGCCGACTCTATTCTGCGACAATGAAGCCAGTGCAGCCGTTGTTGCAATGCAGTTTACGTCCCTCAGTCCCTGGCTGGACCCTTTGTGGGCTCTGATTGGGCCCTGTTTTGCCGCTGCATAGAGAACATTGGCTGTGTGCGCCCTGTGTATCCGTTTGTGCTTGTCTGTGAATGTGAATACGAATGCCTTGTGTGTGAGGCGGAACCCAGCGGGTTATACACTATGCAGTATGCAGGATGTTAGGGACAAACCACAGTGTCGTTTGCAGTCATAGTTAGCGCTGTGGGCACAATGAAACGGCTGTTTTAGTGACAGCGGGTTCCTTCTCGTTTAAAGGCTCCACTGTAGAAAGGTTAGCAACGCGTGCATACATCACAGTAATCTCGGCCCGCCTCTCGTGTCCTGCGACTATTACGCTCTGTTTCTGACGTGCCCATTCCCTGAGAATGGCCATTGGACGGTCTCCAATCCACCCATCTCCCCCGTTCGCGGTCCGGCGGTGACGGGTTGGGGTTGGGGGCGGTCCCGCCGGGCCCTGTACTACAGAGGGCCGTCCCGTGTCGTAGGCAGTGTATATCAAAGGGCCGGCCCCGGTCCGCGCTGCGGGCTATGAATGCTGCAGCGGCCCGGCCGCCGATGTACGGGGCATTTGCAATGGAGTAGTGATGGCTCGGCTATGGGGTCCGACAGTGTAGCATCTGAATAATGGACCGACGTCGGATCTCCATGATGAATGACTTTGAATATATGTTTCAACAAACAGCAGCCGGAACTCGTTGGATTTCCCGGAAACTCCGAACGAAATTGTTATCTCTTGTTTAGTTTGCTGATGGTGTAGCTTGCCTTGAGGGTGTTGACCTAAAAAATCTTCGATTTGGTTGCTCTTGGTTTGCTAAATACCTTCAATCGATTGCTGATTGCGTGTCGCCTGATATCGACATTCGGCAGCCTCCGATAATGCGGACCAGAGCAATAATATAGGCGCCCTCATGCCCCCACCCTCCCCTGCATTAGCGGGCGCCGCGTGCCCCTGCACAGCGGGCGGCCGGTGCGTGCTGCGTGCGTCGTCACGGCACTGTGCGATAGCACGCCGCCGGCCTCTCGGACTATAATGACGTCATTAGTGGGTGTTTTTGTGGCGGCCGACGGCGCTCGTCGGTCTGCCGGGGTCGCCGCCGCCTGGGAGGGGCGTGCCCCGGGCCGAGAGGCGGTCTGGGAAGGTATTCCGGCCGTGGACGGACGATGGCTGTCGCGGTCGAGGAGGTGGTCGAGTTTAGATTGTTCCGGCGGTGATTTGGGGTCGGTTTAGAACGGGCTTTGGGAGACATGGGGGTAGTGGTGGTGATTTTACTGGTTCTGGTGGTTCGAGTGGTGGGTAAGAAAGTGGAACTAGTCTGAATGGGATACCTGCACGACCCAGAGAGCTACTTTGTTCCGTCTGGCTCACGGTCATGGGTTTGTGTCGACTCTGATTTCAACTTCATGAATTAGCGGTTTGTTTTCAGCTATACTCCCAGACATTGCGGTCCGTCACACTCTGTGCATTGGCTGATTGACCGGGCGCTGCTTTTAGTTCGTTCCCTGCCTGCTTCCGGTCATGTTCTGCGTTCGATGTGCCCCGGGCGGACTGGGTGTGGCCCTGGGAGTCTCTCCAGCCGGCGCCGGTGGCGGTAGCCGGGCACTATTTGCCCACCGATCGCATATCGGCGCTCTGCAGCCGGCGGCCGGCGCGGGGCGCCTCGGACGGCTGTCCAGACCGGCGACGGGCGCTATCCGGCTATCTGAGCGGTGCTGACACTACCCAGCTGGCGGACAGGCCCCGTTTTCCCCGGGGGATGCACTGCGCATCCGGCGCCGCGCTGCGCCGGATCTGTCGGTCCTGCGCCATGTCTGCCGCGCCCGGAGGATGGTAAACATGACAAACCGGGAGGGAGATAACGCGACTAGAGATAAGACTCGCTGTCGTTTTTTCTCACTGTTTTGCCCTTTCCGTCCAACTTTTGTGGCTAGTATAATGTTTTCCCATTGTTAAACTTTGGTTGTTTCGTGTTCAATCCCCCTCTTTTGATCTCGACTCTCCAGCCATCTTGTTGTTTACTGAGCTCATCCGGCCTCAGTTGTGTTTCAGTCGTGTTCAGATTCGGTATCAGGCCTAGTTAGGCCCGTCTAAATCACGTCTGCAGTTGCCCTCATCCGGCCGGAATCGTGCCCCATTCCCTCCTCGTGCCGGTCATCCAGACACGACTCACTGGAAATGTTCGGGGCGGACGGGACTCGCATTGACCATTCCCCGGAGAGTTGTGCAATGTGTGATACACTGGTAGCACTCGGCTGTTATCAGCAGCTTCCCAAGAAGGTCTGCAGATATACGATATAAATGTTTATGTATAATGACCTGTCGACATGGTATGCGCTACTTTGCGTGTCGTGTTTCCAATGTACGGAGATATACCGAGCTGCATGTGATAAGCGGGCGGCGCTGCAGTCTGACTGACGCGGCGCTGCGGGTGTACCCTCCTTCGTGACGACGATTATGTCGGCGGCTCTGAGCGTGCCGACTGGCCGCGGCGTGCACGAGTTGATTCATAGAACAGCTCTGCGGTCGGCTACTGGACAAGTGGTGTGATTGAGCCGGCGATTGGCCTCCAGTGGCTCCACTCGTGCTGTGGTCGGCTCGCTAACAAGCTCCGTTTGGATCGGTGATGGTGCAGATTCGCCCCGCGTTGAGTGCATTGGAGAGGCCGCACGCCTCTAGGAATACCGCCTCCAACTCCTACATCAAACAGAGGCGGATTGGCGAGATTCCACTGCAATTAGGACCGCATCGACGATCGAGCCGATCCGGTGAAAGCCGGGATTGGCAGCGGGGTAAAGCTTGGGTTTACGATTGCGGTACGAGGCACACGGCATCAGACGATTGTCTGGATTAGAAAGTCGCTGTCGGTCACCGCCGTCGGCTGGGCGTCGTTTGGCGTTCTTCGAACGTGCTCGGATTTTTCTCCGATCGATGTGATGAGAACTCGGTGCGCTCTCGGCTCTCTGAGAATGTGTCATGTCGGATTGACGGCGGGGTTTACTGGTGGATAAAAACGGCAGCTTCTGTCCTGCCGTGTGCCGTGTGACTCGGTCGATGATCCGCACTATGAGACCGCAAAGGCGCTGTTATTGGACAGACGAATGAGCTGCAGCACTGGCGGGGATGTCGGGACGGGGTGCCCCCGTCATTGCTGACTTCATCAGCGACGCGTCTGCGGTCGCGACGTACTTTACTGCGAAAGACGGGAGTTTTTCGAGCGATGTCCCGACAGGTTTGACGAACTCGTTTAGATTGCCATCAGCGTTCGCCTTCTGCGGAGTCGCCACCGCAGACTGTGATGAAAAATCACACGATGCGCCGAGCGCATTTACGTACTTTGCACAAACCAACAAAAAGTGGAACTGGAAAAATTCAATTGCGCACTTCATGCCGAAGCAATGTCACGATTTCTTCGGTAATTAAAAGGAATTCAATGAGGTCGCTGCTATCGAGACTTCAGAAATCCCTGAGCTCGCATGGCATTCTTGACAATCCGTCTTATCAGCGCTTTCCAATTATCCTCAGTGGGACGATGCCTTATCTGATGCTGCCGCCGGCAGTCATTAGTTACAGATAAGTCCGCGTCATAAGCACATTCACCGCTGTCCGTTTACTAAGCACGTTTTATGCCCGTTGCTGATCCGCTCAACATCGCTGGAATGCTCCGGCGCAAGTAAGACCGCCGTTTGTCTGCGACTTTGTGTCGTAAGGCGGCGCTATGTACGGTGCTTACTCCTCTGTGACGTCCGCTGTTGGGGAGAATCCGGTGCTTTGGGCCGTCCTGCCGCCCCGCCGTGCGCTCGTTGTGTTGTTCTGCGGGGTGCTCTGGCGATAATCAGCACGTCCGGCTGGCGCGGCGGCTGTGTGCCGCACAGATAAGGAGTCTGAGCCTCGCCAGCCGGCTAGGATGTGTGCGTCGGTGTGTGTCGGTGTTTGTGTCGACTTTGGGCACAGGCCGACACGAGACTGGGCATCGCGGCTGAGCGGCCGAGCGGCAGGGCTTAGTCCGAGTGCGCTCACAGCAGTCTTGTCACGGGTTGCAGCGCTTCGGGACAGGGGCGGCGGACCGGGACACGGGGTGTGCCCGTGTGTCGGAGTCGGTACATGGAAGGACGGCTGGGATTTACGCCGGGGTTGTGCTGCTACAAGATAAACTGGGGTTTCGTATGTTCGTTGGAAGCGGCATTGAGCGACCGGCGGGAGGGGGGGGTGGGGTGGGCAGACTGACCCAACTAACAACGTGCCGGAACCGGGCAATGTCGTGTCAGATAATCCCTTCCGAGTAGGCATACATACAATGCAATGGTTCTGTCAAACATGCATGACTGATAGAGCTGAGTCATCCAGAGATCATGCTGTAATCAAACATCGCTCGCAGTATCGCGATGTTTTGAAATGTGATCCAAGATTTGTTTGCATCGCAATGATGCGTGAATAGCAAGGCTTGATCTTCAATTTCCAGTTCTCGATAAGCTAGAGAAGTTTTCTGGAAGCTTTTGTTGCTCCATCGCACAATATCCTGTTGTTATCCGGCGAGATGTGGGAAGAGATTGAAAACTGTTATCTGCACTTCAACATAAAGCCTGAGATTGTCTGTCGGATATAGGTCGAGGCACGGCCGACTGAAGTCTGTACCCGGCACCGCTGGCAGTCTGTCGTTGAAGCATGTGTAATGTGCATAGCCGCCGCTGGCATACATGCCTTTGAAATATGTGTCGCCTGCGGCACGACCAGCCGCTTTTGAAGTAGCTTTGCGTAGTCGCTGGCAGGCCGCCGTCTACTGCTCACTAAGCGCAGCGAGCCATCCTGTCCAGGCTCATCTGATCCCCTTAATTCTCCCTCTGCCGGTTCTCAGCTGTAACCGCGCACTGCGCCCATCCCATTCTCCGTCCCAATCACCGCCCCTTTGTGGCCGCCTCCCATCTCGGCACGCTCTTTGTCCGCAGAAAGATGCGGCAGTCAGCGAGGCGTGAAGCTCGTTTCCCGTTTTTGTGACCATTTTTGCACGCATTCTCGGCGCAATTATAGTCGCATCAGCGTCTTTACTGCATCTCAGCGGGCGGAAGGCGCGGCAACGGTGCTGATAGCGCGGCGTCTCTGTTGGAAATCGCTGACCCGCGACATACCGAGGGGCGTTTTTGGATGCGGCACTGGCGCCGTGTGTAAGAGACGCAGCACAGGAGTGGGTCATGTTAGGGCGATTTTTGTGAGATGGCTTTGAGGAATTTGCTACCTCTGAAGAATCTGCAAGGGAGGGATATGCGACCACATTGGTCCTAATCTGTCACCGCCGCCTTCTGAGCTTGTCAGCGGCAAACCAAACCGCCAGCCAGTGACAACTGATCGCTTGTCAGTGGCTTGTGTTGGTCAGTCTGACCTCGAGATAGCCTGAGGATAGTCGTTAGTCTGACCAAGTTGACCTCACGAGCCTGACTGCACCCCACCCCCTCTGGCCTCAGTCTGACCCGCGTCCGTCTCATTTACAGGCAGCTGAGTGGCGCTCTCGTTGAGAAGTGGAGCTCCCTCCGCGGTCGCAGCACGCACGACTGTGTTCGCATCTACCTAACATGCACCAGAAAGTGGCCCCACTTCGGGTCGGCGCTCTTCAAAGCCAAGGTGAGAAAGCTAAAAGCTTGGTCTGGTTTTGAACAATGTTTGGCGTGATTCTACCGGAGGGAGGGAAGGAAGAGAAAGAGATAGAGAGAGAGAGAGAGAGAGAGAGAGAGAGAGAGAGAGAGAGAGAGAGAGAGAGAGAGAGAGAGAGAGAGAGGGAGGGAGGGAGGGAGGGAGGGAGGAAGGGAGAGGAAGGGGAAGAGAGAGCTCCTGCTACTTTGCATAGCTCTTACTTTTGACGGTGAGTTGTATAAGAGGCAGCGCGGCGGGTATTTTGAGATGCTAGGTTGTGTATAAGAGGGCTCAGGTTCCTTCTGATCCGGTGTGTATTCGAGTGAGCGCGGCTGGCGGATATAGTCTCTGGCCCGTCTCAAGAGGCCACTGGAGCCGGGCTGACCGGCGCGGGAGGCTCAGTCTCGGTCAGTGTGAGTGGGGAGCGGCGCTGGGGGCGCGCCCCTGAAGGGTCCTCAGCCGCCGGATATTGGCTCGGTCAGACGTATGGACGGGGAGGGGAGTGCAGCTGGAAGGGGTACGGCTCGGCCACACGCCGCTGATACTGTGCTTCCTGCGACCGACCGCCGCGAGCCGGGGAGCGGGCAGAGCGGTGTATCGGCTGCGTGGCGCCGGTGGTCACAGGCGGCAGGCGCCTGATGCAATATTAAAAATAGACCGGAGAGTCGCTTAAAGGTATGATTTTAGAGGTATTTTGGATACTAGCTGTCTTATATCGAAAAAAGTTATTATAGCTCATGAGCACCTAATGAGCAAGCAAATAGTTAAAACTTTACTAAACGCAGTTCATTTCCAACATGCGGATAGTTATTCTGGTCGGTGATCATGGGATAATTATGGATATTCCAGCGTGGTTCATAATACTCTCAGATTTTATCGCCTGTTATTCCCTGTAATCGCCACGTCATTCGAGGTTCCATTAAGATAATTAGCTAATTCGTCTAATTGCTCATCAAGTAAAGATTGACATTTTTGGAAAATAACTGTTCTTAGCAATAATCCGTATTGATGTTTCGCTGTTCGTAACTGAGCGTAGCTAGTTAGAGTGACTATGATTCCGTCATTTTTGCAAAGGTCGAATTCTTCCAAATTGTGGTTGCAATGATATGATGGCTCCACAATTAAGCTCGCTTATCGATAACCAGGCGATCATGTCATCGCATTTCATCACCGGCTCCATCGAGTTACGTAGCAAACTAGCTTCTTCTGTGGGTACACTCCTGTCGCTGGTGCATCAAGTAGGCACGAACTACCAACCGTTTCCCGCCACAAAGAGGGTAGGTAATGCGTGGACCGCTCGGCAACAAGCTGTTTGTGAATGCTGTTTCCCTGACAGACAGGGCTACCCTGACGTCATTCCGTGCTCAAAACTGACTGACCTGTGAGTGACTGACTGACCTGTGAACTGAGCCGCTGCTCTGTCCCGTATCTGAACTTACCTGACCTGCGTGTCGCTGTCTGTTTTCAGCTATCTGGCGAGGGCACGTCTGTGTTCCTGGCGGCGGGAGAGGGAGCGCTCTGTGTTCTCAACGTCAACACGCTGCAGGAGACCGCCAGGTAAGGAACAGAGACAGGAGGGACAGGGAGAGCTAGGGATGGCCAGGCAAGGGACAGGGAAGGGACAGCGAGGGGCATGGACGGTCAGCCAATATGGGAGCGAGCTGTGTGTGCTCATTGTCAACACGCTGCAGGAAACGGCCAGGTGAGGAACTGGGAGGGATATGGTAGGATCAAGCAAAGGAGTACGGCCAATGATGCGGTTGTGTCAGACTCGGGGACAACATTAAGCTAGGTATGGGACAGAAATCGGTCAGAGTCTGATCAGAACCAGCCTAGAGAAGGCTCAGAAAAATACGTTGAAGGATACAGGACTGCATGTGGTAAGCTTTGCAGTGCACAGTTTGAAAGTAATCAAGTCATTTTTGGGGGACCTCCTACCTACCTACCCTACCCTTTGATACCCTTTGATACAGCATTACGAGCCGTAGGATCACCGCTCTGACGTGCTCCTCCCAGTCGCTCCCGCACGGGCCGCCGTTCTGATTAGGTGGCTATTCCGGGACTCCCAGCTGGGATTTCTCCTGCCTCTCGCACGGCGGGCTTCGATGTCTAATGGGCAATGCGATACCCGACGCTGCAGCCATTCATACGGGTAGGAGGACCCGTGAATCGGCCTCGGGCTGAGGTCAGGTGTCTCCGCCTGTGCCGTGCGGTATCATTTACCAGCAGTGTGCTGGAAGAAGATGCCAATTTTTATGTTAATTGACACGGGAATCCACCCGACAGATGCTTTCCGTAATGGCCACCAGTGGTATCTGGTCATGTGCTTCACTTATTGGGATAATGTTAATGATTAGGGATAGGATCTAGCCATTATCCTGAAATGTGATATTTTATGGAGTCTGTGAAGTTTTTGGACACTTTTGAGATGTGTAGTGACTGTTAGCATCTGATCTCATGTTCAATTATGCAGCTACATTCCATAAAATATTTGATGCATTTTGAGTGATGAAGTGCCGAGCATAACATTAATAACGTGCTGACCATAATTGCATGCCAGGCGGCGTAACTGTATACCGTCGGCAGGCGTGCAATGTTAACACCGCAGCTGGCCGGCGGGTTTGTATATTGCACTGTCTGCTCTGAGAGTGTTTGGGGCCTGAGTGGGCTCGTCTGGCGGTCTGGGTCCACGAGGAACGCTGCGATGTTGACCCTTCCCGGAGAGGTGACTTAGACCGTGGTCGCTGTTGGGTAGAGTTAAAGGCTGAAGTTGTGGCAGACTTCCCTGACCGCGGCGAGCTGGAGAAATACTCGTGCGACGTTTCTTCAGGTGTGTAGGTCGATCGTGGTGGTGAGGCATCGTCTTCACCACCAGCACTGTCGCCCCTCGCCTGCTCTCGGAGCGTATACGGTGTCACTGACCTTTCCATTTCGTCCGACGTATAACAGCAGTATTTACCCAGGGAGTTTGGTCCCCCATTCTTGGGCGGCTCTTTGCTGAGTGCATACCGGGTGTCAACTTCTAACAGCACACCGCTCCGTATTCCGAGCACCGACCGCAAATTTGCTCGGTCAATACGGGGCTGCTCGTTAAATCAATAGACTAATTCAATTAGTTCGGTATTGTCATTGGCGAGCAGTGCCCAGCGCCGGCAATGACGTCATCGGTTACAAAGTGCGCCGCTGTATGCCTTTGCCTATGGACGATGGTGTCGCGAGGCACGGGGTCTTTGCCCAGCGCAACAACCCGGGCATTTGTCTAGAGCAATAGCTCTGCCCGGAATTTGTTGAACTGTAGGCTCCTTGGGTCATACCTTAGCTGTTTTCGAGACGAGCGGGGATGGTTTAATTCAGCTGAGGTTGACTGGCCAGAATGCGCTTGTGTTCGGGGGCTGTTATTTGAATGGTTAGATAGTGAATGCACTTATGTTCGGCTAAGCCATAGCTGGGTGTCGCTATGTTTGGATGCTTTTCTGGCATTCTGGCCAGCACCAGATCCGTTTCCTCTCCCGTGTCCGTATCCGTGTGCCTGCATCCATGACAAAGCTCACCTCATTCCGGAGATGACCGGGAGGCAGGTCATGGACCGGTACTGGCCGCAGTTCCGGCAGCGGTACCTACACTGTAAAAAATATTGACGAGCTATGTGTCAAAACAAGGGTCTCGAAACAGTCACCAGGTTGTCAATGCTTCCGGTACCTACCACTTGACTAGTTACCGCTTAGTTCGCTTACAGGCTGAGAACTATCCAGATCGTTATGATCCGGTATTGTAATGATGCCCTAGGTGTACCTTTGTTTTGAAGTGCTGAATTAACTATCAAGGTTGTTTGACTTTTGTTTTCGCCTCAATCCGAAACGAGGAAGACCCTCATCAAATTATTAGGTGAAAGCCAGCCTCAGGATGATCAAAATACTAGGGGTAGTTTTGTCATAGTAATCTGTGAAGGGTGAGGAACAAGCCGTAGCAATGCACTCGTCACTAAACCAGCCTGAGATTATTCGCCAGGTAGCTGCTGTGTTTCCCTTCTTGCTGAATCATGTTTGCAACTTTCCATTTCCAGACACTTTTTACGGCAAATAAATTGTTGGGTTATTTGGAAGGTGAATGACAATTTTATTTCTATAAGTCAATACATTTGTATTTCCGATTGCCCTAAAACTTTTTTTTTAATCGTTTGCGGTAGGTTTTTACTGTTCGCAATAAAGTTGCGCACCTGGGAATCCTTCACTTAATGCTCCCGGCGCCAGTTGCGCTGTGCCGTGCCGCGTTCGGTCGGGGGTGCACGCGTCTGTGCAGTGCGAGTGTTTATCACTGGGCAAACCTGTATCGTTTCCATTTGTGCAGTGTCTAGTTATGAAGAATTGCTTGCCGATATATGACCTGCAGTGATCGACGTTCTGATTTAATAACTTGCCATAAGCCATTATTCTCAACCAAATCGCGCAGAGACGTTTGCAAAGTTGTCGAGGGGGGGGGGGAACAAGAGCGATTTTAAATGAATTGCTCTCCATGCAGTGCAATAGGACTTAGGTTAAATTTTTCGAAAGTTGTGGAGCCGCCCCCGGTGTCTGGCCTGGCCAACTCTCTCAAGAACCGACAGCTAACGGAACACTGAAGTTTCACTACGACGATTTCCGCCAAAGTTATGAAGAAAAGGCAAGTGCAAGAAGTACAAAATTTCTCTTGGTAATCAAAACTTAGGTTTGGCAAATTCCAAACCCTAAGTCACTACAACTGAGGATATAAATAAGCTGGTTATTGCCGGCCAAGCTCTGGCCAATCTGAGGTTCAGACCTATCATCAAGTTCATGAGGCAGCTGCGGTTGGGCGGCTCACGGGCTTCACTGCATAGGCTCAGAGGTACTCTACAAAATGTCTTCTGTGTTATTAGGTTCAGATCTATCGATAGGTGGTATGTGCATGCTTCATTCGATTGATAACTGTAAACGGGCGCTGGAAGTGAAGGTTCGCTTGATATACGAAAGGTGCATTGCAAGAAAGCACATTATTTCAGAAATACACTTTCATTTTATCTTGAGCGTTTTTGGAATGGGCCGGATGAATTCGTCATCAAACTGGTAAGGGATTTCGTTTGAAGACCACCGATATTTAATAATATGATGGTCTTCAAACGAATTCGCTGGCAAATTTGATGACTGGATTGGGCGGCGTAGGATCTGCTGGTCATCTGACTATGGGTTGAGCAATACGTTAGTTTTGACCTAGTTTGAGCTTCATTCGTTAAGTAGGAACAAGACGATGCTTCTTTTGAGCATCGTCACTAAACAAGCCGCCCTCGTTTTGACATTGTTTTTCGTTATTATTGTTACTAGGTACTTTGTTATCATACACAGCATTAACGAGGACCTGCTTCCAAAACAAGGCAGAAACGCTCCAGCTATTTTTGGGACGTGGTAAAAACTAACCGACACCTGGTAACTGTCATCTGACGAACACAAAACAAGCCAGGGGCTCGCAGCGTGTGTCAAAAGTAGGATGCTAGTCTGTACCCCCGACATTTAGCGTTGAGAATCATTTGACGAGGGGCTAGTCAATATTTTTTACAGTGTACACTGTGACACTTGGATTGTGTAACTATCACCTACATCCGACCCAGCGCGCGCCAGGCGCTGCGGTGTGCCGTGTCATGCGGCAGGAAAGGGCCCGACAATCCGACATTCAACCTGACTCACACTCCCATTTGCAGTCATTCAAGCATGCGATGGGTTAAAATGCAGGCGCCGGGAATTGTCAGGTGGCTGAATAGTGCAGATTGTGGTCGGACCGTCTGCAAGATACATGCTACCGGAATTGTGAATCATTCAGGTTACACAATGTTAGTGGCTTGGTGGGTACTAATCCATGTCATCTTTGTCAGTCCTTTCCTGGATTGATATACGTCATTGATGGCGTTACTTTCACAACGCCCAGCACTCGGCAGTTATGACGAACTACGTGATCGGCAATCACGTCACTGCTTAGCAGCTGCCATTAAAACGCTGTAGTTATCTTTCTCGGTAGATGCTTTAGTATATACGTTATTAGTCAGTAACTACGGCATTATTAACGTCATTTATAACGACTTTGCGCCGTTCACGCATGTTAAAAAAGTATGGTTAAATCTTGATAGCACGAGTAATTTTGGCAGCATCGGAGGACTGTCTCTAAACGCGCGCGTGATTTCAGTTTTTTAAGTAAAACGTCGGTATAACAGACATTAATCCCGGGAATAATATTGTTAATCAGACTTTTTCTTTCCGTGGTGGAGCCCGAATGGTTTCACAAAGAAGCTGCTCGCTGAAAAAATAAATATTGGCCTGCATTGAGATTGAAGGCAACACAGGCACCGAAGGCAACACAGAGCTGAATCAAATTCAGAGAGAGCTTTGAGACGCCTTCATATTTTTTTTTTTTAATCTCATAGGCCCACTGCTTTGTCCGATCACTCAAAGGTGATGCTCATTAATGCAGAAAATGGATACGAATGGTACATACAGACAGCGAGAAAAAACTGCAGTTTGCTCTCCCAAGAACTGGCGAATAGAGAAGCAGAAGGTGTTCCAACCAACACAAGGAAGACCCAGAATGGGCTGTAGCCACTTGAGATAGGCGCAGCGCAGGCCAAGTGTCTGGTAGGTATACCCAGGCAAACATGATACAGAGATGATGGAATAGACCAGAGCTTGTAAATACGCGTTTTCAGTATACGGTTCTCACAGAAGGCGGCCCTGGCTGCATAAGTTCTTTACAAGTACTGCAAGAGGGCCTGCATATGAATATAAGAGACTGAGCGAGACATTGTACAATCCACTTATACCACTATTGCATTTCCTAATTGGCGCTATTAATTTGATTAAACAGTACACACTTCGTTATTAACAAGTGTTTCCCCGAAAAGAAAACCAAGCCCCGTTTCTTTTCCCAATCCCTCAATGTAGCCCTTTTAAACAGACGGGCTGAGCGACGAACGGCGCAAAGTCGTTATAATAAATGTAATCGGACCGCCTCCTCGGTACACCAGGCATTATTCGGTGTGCCTTGCCAAGGGTGTTTATATTTAATGCACTCGCAGGCTCGTGCATTAAATGCAAAAATAACACTCATTTCATTCGTGTTATTTTTGAAAATATTAACCTCACTTCGTTCGGTTAATATTTTAGGAAAAATAATGCCCTCACTCCGTTCGGGCATTATTTAAAACACCCTTGGCTAGGCACACCGAATAATACCTGGTATACCGAGGACGCGGTCCGATTAAATATATATTAGTCAGTAACTACGGCATTATTAACGTCATTTATTCAGTAACCGCGTCAACCCTCGACATTTTTCAGTAACCACATCATTAACAACGCTACTTGCTACATCACCCCTTCATGTCCACACGTCCACACTAATCACGCTAATCCACACTAATCACGTACATACGTAATAATGTTATAACGTCAGAAACCACGTCAGTAACCACGTCTCCCCCTCGGCAGGTACCAGTACACCAGCGTGGTGACATTCGGCGGCTGCCAGGACGACTTCATGCTGGTCGTCTCGGAGAACGGCAGCTCAGACGCGGCCACCACCCAGAAGCTGCTCTTCAACATGCCCAAACCCAAGGTGAGTCCCGCGCGTCACAGCAGCTACAAAACTGCTTTCTCCTTGTTTAACTTATCTGTGCATAAGTATCTTCGTGATTGTCCTTTTCCTCGAAAATATTTGTTGTTTTCTCTTATCAATTTCTTATTCTATTTTTCTTCTCAATTCATTATCTCTGTTCCACCCTATCCTTCCCTAATCCCTTCCTTACATGGCCCGCGGCGATCAGCTGCCCGCCGGGCACTGACCGGTCATTATGGGTACCCTTGGAGAGGTCGCCGGTCCCCGCCACTACCAGGGTCGGAGCACCTCTAGGTCCGGTCGCCGGTAGTCTGTCCGTCTGTTTCCGTCTGTGAAAAGGTCGGGAGACGGCCGCTACACGCGAGGTGTTGCCCCCGGAGAAGCGTCACGCCAGGATGCCGATGTCGCGGCCCTGTGGTGGCCGTATCTCCGCTTATAACTGTATGTTGCTGTGGGCCTGATTGTGTCCTGGTTGTTCATCTGGCACCATCCGCTTATGCATCCATCCATGCATTCTTGTGTATTTATCTGTGTCTTATCCGTCCACCCCGTCATTCTTCCGTGTTTTATTCTCTCGATAGTTTCACACCAGGGCCTCGTTTCATAAAGCGAGTCCGTAATTTACGTCGGTTTTTGGTCTTGAATTACAGGTGCATGTGAAGTGATTCCGATAGTTTGAATCGTTGAGTTTATTTATGTTGCAAGCAAGAACAGAAGGGAGAGGGGGAAATACATCTATCACTTGACATGCACTTGCAACACAAGACCAAAAACCGGCGTAAGTTACGGACTCGCTTTATGAAACGAGGCCCAGTGCCCTCTAAACGCACGGCAATTCTTCTTTGCCACCCACGGCGCATTCGTCCATCCTTTCCTTCCCTCTCCCCTCTCCCCTCTCCCCTCTCCCATGGCGCCCCGTGGCGTCAGGCGTCAGGTGCCGCCGCCCCTGTGGACCGTATGTGGGGGAACAGGTGTCCGAGGGACCGCTACCGCCGCGCCCGGCACGCGTCTGGCACACTGACGAACCTCCGCCGGACGGCCGGCTTTGTGTCATTAGCGGGGGAGGGGAGGGGAGATGACAACGGAGGGCTGGGGAGAGAACTCTCCCCGCTCGGCCCGCCCTCTCCCGGCTTGATGGGATTTTTATGTGCTCGTTAAGTGCGATAGATAGCATGAGGATTGATGTGTTTCTTGTGTGCGGATGGATTGGGCTGTGTGTCCTCCTTTATTATACGCTCCAGTTGTACTCTTGGCTCGGAGAGTTCTATTCAGTCCTCCGCAGAGCGGTTTGAATGACAAGAACCCATCCGAATTCCATCATTCCACAGCGCCGCCGGCGTCCGTAGTTACAGTTAGTGGTTAGACGGACCGCGCCCCTGACGGTAATGATATGGGCCGATTATAGACCGCTGGTCGCCATCAGCCGCGCCGGCGGAACGCGCTCCAAGCTGATCAAACGCTCCCGGTCCACCCATTCCGGCTCCGCTGATACCCACGCTGGCGCTCGTTATAATCCCATTTAGCCGGCCGGCAGGCCGGGGTCCAATCTATGATAGGTGGATCTGTGCTGAACGGTTCCGATCGCTCTTTATACTTAAAGCTGGATGATCACAATCTTCCCATCACGGCTCGACGTACTTACCGAGTAAATGGTTGGCACGACTTGCTGCGCAACCGTACGCTGGTGTCTATCTGTGGGCTCTGTACCCTGGTGTCTGGGTGTCTGTATTTTCATATGTGTGTCTGTGTAGCGCTCTCGTGGTTCCGTCCGTCTCTTAATGACGTGACGCCCCGGAGCGCCCTTATTCCGCTGGCCTGATATTACCCTCCATGTAACATAGTATCTGCGTGATTCCCCCCACTGACCCTGTTGTCCGTCCATCAGGCTGATGTTGCCCCAGAGCTCTCCGAAATCTGATGTGTTTTTATGGGGTAACTTCCACGCCTGGTCTGTACGCTTAATTAGTGCACGAGCTCATTAAAATGTCTGTCTGATAAATGAGGTGAGGTCGGCGGACTAACGATTCCCGCTTGGGCTGGCTGGCCGCTGTGCTGTCCGCCACGGGTACATGTTATCACGGCCCACTCCTGTCCCGGCCGACATGGCCGGGTCTGGGCTAGCCTGCTTTTGGATCTGCATGGGTGCTGGCCAGCCGAGTCGGTGGTAGTCTCCTGTTTATGTAGGTGTTGCGAGTGTGGTATTCCTGGTACTTTAGTCGATACACATCCAGTTATAATCGGCGTATGCCGTGGCCAGTGACGCCCTTCGGTACTGTCATTAAGCCGTGTCTCGCAGTTGTTAGGGTCTGATACAATCCTCTGTGTCGGGCGTCTTCTCCGTCTCTGTCTCTGTTCCTGATGTCGGCACTTTCACGTGAGCCATTCGTTTAAATTATATATTATGTCTCAGTAGCTGAGGTAAACTATGTAGAAGTCCTTTACTGCGTCCCTCACGTTTTCTGGAAAAATCGATTGATTTTCGATTTGTCGCCCTAGCCTGCCATCCCCTTGCTACTCGACATCGTCATTCGCTCACCCAATCTGTAGCCGACCCTTCATCGTATCCGTAATCCGTCCGTCATCGTCCACCCATGTTGTCTCTTTTACCGCACACCTCAGCCCCACATCTATTTATACATACATATTCGCTATAAACTACTCCAAGACAACGCGGACGAACGAAGGAACAGAACTGGGCTCAAATACAGCAATCTGTGGTGGCCCGTAAGCCGAAATACCTATTACCTATTATTACCTTATTCTTCCAACCTCCGCCCTTCCCCACTCATCTCTGTAACCCCTCCCCCCTGTCGTCAGATTCTGGAGCTGACACTGCTGATCGCCGACTACATGAACGCCCTGGGTCGGATGCAGGCTGGCGGTCCGCCCCAGATGGGCACCCTGACCAGGGTCGGGTCGGTCCACGCCTCCCGGCCGGAGAGACTGCGGACGAGAATGCCCAGCGTGGGCTCCGAGGCGGGCGCCGAGCTACTCAGGTGAGTTTAGAGAGTCGGGGTGAGCTGATCAGGTGAGTTGGAGAGTCATGGTGAGCTGCTGAGGTGAGTTGGAGAGTCAGATAGTGGGATGAGCTGCTTAGGTGAGTTCGAGTAGGGCAGTGGGGTGAGCTGCTTATGTTCGTTGGAGAGTCAGAAAGAGAGTTTTGGTGCTTGGGTGAGTCGCAGTGAGATAAACTGTTCAGGTGAGTTACAGTTAGGTGATCTACTCGATGAGTCGCGGTAGGGACGTGGCATTATAATCGGTTTTGGTTGTGAGTCAGAGGCCCTGGGTTTGGGAGAGGGTGGATCGCTTGGGTCGTCCCCGACAAGACAATGACATGGAGCAATGAACCTTAAGCGGCAATCGGTAGGGACGGCGACTGCACCGTCGGATTGCGATACTCGTAATGTCCAACCAGACTCAGCTCATTGTTGGTGATTGCTGCCTAATACAGGCTGATGGGGTATACGAACAGCAGTGAATAGCAATTATCGACTGATCAATCACTGAAAGTGGGAGATTATGTCTGTACTTGCCAGTTGTTTCCAGTAATGCATAGATGATGATGCTGGATGATGGTGACTAATAAGCGATGACAATTGTAGGTTACACGATGAAGACTTTGTAACATGATGAAGGCATGTCAGGACGGCCTTTCCGTCCGCCCCTGCAACCATTGAGGGCCTTCTAAAATAGCCGGGGCGCAGCTGCGTGTTGGTTTACTCGAGGACTATTGTATGGCCCGCTCAGTTTTGGACAAATTGACAGGGCGCCTTCAACAAAACAACGGTCTCAAACCGAGCGACAAACCACCTCAACAAAACAACGGGCCCGAGCGGCTGCGTCCGAAATTCCCCGACCACCTGTATCTAGTGCCGGGCGCAAAAAGCGCCAAACAAAAGCCGCTCTTATCGAAAACATTCGTGGCTCGCAGCTGGTTGCCAGCTTTATCGGGCTATTACCGGCGCGGGGATTTAGTTGGCGCTTATCACGCCGTTTTTACGACGTCCGCACGAATGCCACCAGTATGGTCCGAAACGGCAGATTGTTGACGGTAAGCTGCTTGTCAGGGCTTCAACTGCACGGGGTTTGGTTAGGTTCTGTAGTATGGTGTGTGGTTGTTAAGACGATATTTCTCTAGCTTGCGGTAATGGCTGGTCTCCGTGAGGGAGATTTACTGGTGAATGAGAAAATCGACTTCGATCGGGCATAACCATCTCCCCAAGAACACCGGTAATCTTTAATGGACGCCTTCTGGCAATTTGTTAGCATAGAGGAGATGTGACCTCAGGTCACTAAGAGTCACTGCAGGTCATCACAGGACGCGGGTCACTGCTGTTCAGCTGGGGTCACATTGGGTCAGCTATGATCTGGCTGGACTGTGTCGAGTCGGGTCAGGCGGGGTCTGTACTGCGTCGGGGGAGACCGTGACCCGTCTCCGGAATCCCGGTTCATGTAAGTTGTTGGCCAGTCTGGAACGTGTTCCAGAATGTTTGGGGCCAAGACTAACCAAACTGAGGACTCCATATGGGCGTCTGTTGGCTGGGAAGGAGACGTTTCTTGGCCGCGCGATCCAGCTGTGTATGTACAGTCATTTTACCCTCTCATGAATATCGTCTGTTGTGTTGGTGTATAAAATACCACACCGGACCGTTAACTGATTTCTTGAGGATAGGTGTCGTTCTTTGGGTTTTTAGTTCTGCCTGATGCACGAAGCTCTGCTCCTACATGTCAAAAAAAGCACATGAACCACCCGGCGTTGTCCGCCTCAACTGCCTCTCTGGCCCTGTTCTGAAGCAGTTTGCGCTGCGCCGCTTCAGCTGCTACGCTCCCAGCCCTGGCATCTCTCTCGGCTCATATCACTCATAACCGCCTGCCTTCTGGCCGACTGGCAACTGAACGACGCGTGTCTGTCGTTTCAGGAATGGGGGCACCAAGATCCGTACCAGTCACGAAGCTGTCTAGTCGCTGCTGCCGCCGCAGCCGCCGCCGCAGCCTCCTCCTCGAGCCCTCGTATAGCTCCGTTCCCTGTGATCTAGGCCAATTGTCACCACAGTGTGCCGCTCCTATGGATGTGACTGTGTCTGTGTGTGAGTGAGTGGGTGTCAGCGCCGGTGTACCAGTCCGTGTAGGTCTTCCATGTGGTAGGCGATGGCCTCCCGCGGGCCGCTCCGTATGATCTCAGCCCGTCTGATCTCTATCCGCCGACGTGACGGTCGGTCTGTAACGGCCGTGACGGTGGCCCGTGACGCCGGCCGGTGACTCTGTGTACTGTGTACGTAATGTCGGCCCGCCGCGCCGCGTGTGTGTGTGTCTGTGTGTGCCCAGTGGGTGTCCGCCGTCGGCAGTGTTGGTGGCTCGTCTGAATGCCGCTGCTGTAACCAGCCGCGCCTGCTGTATGTATTAACGACGTTCGACTGCATGGCCGCTTTTGTATGGCCTGATCGACGGCCAAAGAGCTTTTGCAGAGATGGAATAAAATTTGTATTAATGCCGCCGTGAGTATTTCAGTGGGCGAGCCGGGACGAGGTAAAAAAGATGGATGCCCCGCCTGTCGGTTATTTATGTGACGGTTTATGGTCTACAGCTGATCCGGGGCGAAGTAGATTGGTGCCGCAGATAGAGGTATAAAATGGGCGGGGATTTAGTGGCACACGGGGAGCGGTTCTGCCCAACTAATGGCTGTCGTGGTGGATTTGGGCCGCGCTCGCGCGCACTGCAGGGGACTGGGAGGGGGATTACAGCTAACTGGATCTCGGGAGGGTGCCCGGGGACGTGGATGGCGTGCGGGGGAGGGGTAGGGGCCGGGGAGGGCTCGGACAGACCCGGAACAGCACAGCACGGAAGCCGACACGGCGCCTCCATTAGGGTCTCGGCCGGCCGGCCGGACGCGACTCTGTGTCGGTCGAGACGTGCGGGCAGTGCGTCTTCCCGGTGCTGGGGAAATCTCACCGCATCAGGAACACGCCGTCCGACCTAGCTTCGCGATGCTGAGGGGCTGCACCTTCTTACGGCTGCCTCGGCGGGCGCTCAGACCGCAGAGACAGACCACAGCGGGACATATCCTGACATCGGCACACCTCGCCGGCTACAGCCGACATAAATTGCGCTCGACAGCCGACATGACTGATTTGCCGGCACCGAGCAGCGAATGAAAGAGGCGGGCAGCTCATTTAAAACGCCACGATACCATCGCGCCGTACAAAAACCTCCAGCGGCGCGGCGGGCTGGCTGGGGAGCTCGCCTGTAACGGACGGGACCCGCTGAACTCCAAGAGCCTCCGGCGGCCGTCCCATGCGACTAATTAGTTTAGCGGGCAGGTGCGGACGACGAGGCGTCTCGCCGGACACTCGGCAGGATCGTGAGCCGAATTTCGTCGTCGCATCGCTAACGACACTCCTCCGACGCGGCCTGTTGGCGCCCGTCGTTTGCCAGCGGCTGTTAGCGCCTCGGTAATGAGCTGCTAACGCGCGCTGCTGAGACGGGCGGACAAAGCGCAGAGAGAGCCGCCGCTGTAAGGCTCGAGGACTCAGATCGCGCGGAGTTTTCACTCTTAAAGGTTATCATGTCGAAAAAGGGCCCCCTCATACCGTAACTGGGCCCTCTCAGGTCTGAAATGGTGACTCTTATGCCTGAAATGGGCCCCTCTCAGGCCTCAAACGGGCCCTCTCTGGCCTCAAACGGGCCCTCTCTGGCCTCAAATGGGCCCTCTCTGGCCTAAAACGGACCCTCTCTGTCCTCAAACAGGCCCTCTAGGGCATGAAATGGGCCCTCTCAAGCTTGAAATGGGCCCCCTCAGGCCTGTCATGGGCCCCTCTCAGGCCTGAAATGGGCCCTATCAGGCCTCAAACATGCCCTCTAGGGCCTGAAATGGACCCCTTCAGGCCTAAAATGGGCCCTCACAGGCATCAAATGGGCCTTCTCAGGCCTGAAATGGGCCCCTCTTAAGTCCAAACAGGCCCTCTAGGGCCTGAAATGGGCCCTCTCAAGCTTCAACTGGGCCCCTTCAGGCCTGAAACGGGCCCTCACAGACCTGAAATGGGCCCTCTCAGGCCTGCAATGGCCCTCTCATGCCATGGAACGGGCCCTCCTAGGCCTTGGATTAGTTCATTCGGGCCTTGGATGTACCCCCTTAAATCATAAAATGGGACTATAAATCCTAAAGGGCCTGAAAACTGTTTTTCAGTCCTATGACGGACCTTGACATTAGCGATAAAAAAATTGTCAGGCTCCATAACGTTACAGTTCGAATCGATGGCGGGCCCCTAGGATAAGAGACGGGGGTGAGATCTCACCCCTTTCACCCCCCCTGGCTGCGCCACTGAACAGACTGCCCAATGAGCTGCAGTCTCTGTCGCGACCTGCCTTCAAACGACAGCTGAGACTTCTGCTGCTTCGGGAGGTAGGATAGGTTCGTGGAGTGCCATGTCTTATCGCGTGTTTCTCCTCTTCATTTTATGTCATCACTGTTTTATATCTTATGACTTGTATGTGTGACTCGGGCGCTGGAAGAGCCACTTCTCAGTGGATGCAACCACGAATAAACTATGAACTATGAGAGCACCTCAAGGGCTCCTAAGTAGACACGCTTATCCCTATAAGGGTGCCACGCCGGCTTCGGAAGGCTCCTTGTAGGCATCTAAGGGCCCTTTCCGGCCTCTAACGGCTCCACCCGCCTGTGATGGCTCCACACCAGTGTTTATGAGCGCCACACAGCGGCGCCTTTGAGGGTCATACTAGTGTCTCTTAGGGCCCTATATCGGTGGCTCTGGGGGCCCCACACCGGCGCCTCTGTGGGCCACCACACCTGTGCATCTCAAGGCTCTATAGGTATGTACATCTGAAGGACCCACACCGACACCTCTGAGGGCCCCACACCAGTATCTCGGAGCTCTGAAGACCCCACACCGGTGACTCTGAGGACTCACCGGCTCCTGAGAGCACCATGTTGATGTCTAATGGCTCCACAACTCACAAGGCCACTGAAGGCACCACACAAGCTCTCACTGAGCTCTAATGTCCATGTACCGGCCTCTGAGGGATTTAAGCCAGCGCATTCATAGCTCCACACCAGCAATTGTAAGGGCTTCACACTGAAGTATCTGAGGGTTCCACACCGGTGTCTCTAAGGGCCACATACCGGCATCTCTGAGGGCCCCATACCGGCGTCTCCGAGGGTCCACATCTGGCGGGCACCCATCAGCGACTGAAGGTCCCACACTGTCGACTCCGAGAGCCCCATCTGCGTCTGGGAGCACCATGCCGTCTCTAAGAACCACAGCGGCTCCTCCGTACGAAAGATGGGCGTCTGCATGCCAAAGGGGAGCAGTTCTGAGACAGTAGGGCACCTAGGTACGTGCAATAGAGGGGCGCCTATGAAGCGCATAGGGGCGCCTCAATGCGAAAGAGGGGCGCCTCTGAGGCCTACATATATGGGCGTCCACATGCAATAGAGGTCTGCAAATTGCAATTGATCAATGCCATGGGGTTGCATTCATAAGAAACAGGGGCGCTGGCATGGCAAAGAGAGGCGCCTTCAAGTGTCCATAAAAGAGAGACGCCTATGATAAGCGCACATTGTATGCGACAACGGGGCGACTGTGGGACATATAGGGATGTCTCTGATGACTATACAATAGGGCGCTTATATGCCAAAGAGGGCGCCTATGAAGCTAATGGGGGCACCTGGGAAACGAGGAAGACATTTGTGTAAGGGTTTTCAGGGGTCATGCGCCGTTTGCGGCAAATAGATTCTAAAAAAAAGTCGGAGGGGGAATAAGTTTTAAAAATGGTGCGGACTTTCCGCACTGTTCGTTTTAGCGGTTACGCCCCTGGGTACATCTGCCCGATCTCAGAAGCTAGATTTGGAGGTCATACTTGAAAGCAGCCAGCAGGACGAGGCAAAAGTTGGAGGCCCCCTGGAAAAAGAGGCCCTTGACAGGGTGGCCCACCCACTTTTCATGACGTTCCTACGCCCGTGATGATAACACACTTAACCCTGTCTTGACCGGACTCGAAATGAATGACTGGAATTGAAAGAACGTTTGTTGGTTCAGGCATGGACAAGTTATTGTTCTAACACCTTATGCAGATGACTTTAATCCACATTCCAGTTAAATAACTGACCTGAATATTAATAGTTACAAAATACAGTTATGAATGTTTTTTTTGCAGTGCAAATAGTTAAGAGGTTGCCTGATTTGTTTTTGTTCCCTTATTTTAAAGTATTAGATACCTTTCAAGGCTAATCATATGTCTTGAGAAAGTTTGAAGCACATGTCTGATAATTCCCTGAATTCGGTATCTAGTCGGTATTTCCCCCCTATTTCTGAAAATCGGTTCGGTTTTGGTATACTCTCAGTGGGTTTGGTCGGTATCGGTTTGGTATTGGTTTCCAAAATTTCTGAAATTGACATCACTAGTAAACACCATATTGATAAAAGAACAGCGGGACCTAGCGGGACTTTTTATATCGGCATTCCAGAATATCTATAACAGTAAAATTAACTAACAATTTTTAAAGCACCAAAAAATCTTAACATTTGAAGCGTATTTATATATTCAGCTATGAGTTTTTTTCTTCCATCGTGTAGCCCATGGTCTAAACTATCAGGTTAGACGTCGAAAATATTGATAAAGCCGTCTAATAGATATATTTTTTACCTACATTAGCTGCTATTTTTCTCCGTACGAAAACGGGTCTACGATGCTTGGCACAAAACTTTGTGTTTGGGCTGATGTGGCGCGGACGCTGTACACTATGGACGAAAAATATTTGCAGATTCGTGGTCCATGGACATTTCTGAACTACGTGACACAGTTTAACTCAATTTGGGAAAGGTCGCCAAATCCACCAATGTCGCGCTAATTCCGGCCGCGGTCCTATCGTGACTGGTGAGGGGAGGCTGGTGTATGTGAGCGCATCACTCCGGGTGTACGGGACAGAACCAGGTCCCCACACACACGTCGGCTGTGGCACCGGAAATGGAAAACAGCGGGGAGCCGGCGGTGATGGACCGCTGTGACACCGGACCTGTGACTCGTCACCACGCTGGGGGGGGGGGGGGGTTCCGGCCCCCTGGGCCATGTCGCCCCAAATGCCAGTGGCGCGGTGTTGGAGACAGGAGCGGCATCCGTGAGTTAGGAATGCCCCGGGTGGTGTTACGTGCTCGGCTGGTCCGCAGCTGTATTCCCCTGTGTCGCAGTCTCTGTCGGAGAGCATTCGGCCGTTACGTGACGGCGTGACGTGACGTCCGAACACGTTCAGAGAAACGCAACACGGGGTGGGTCTGATCTGGGGCGTGATGTCACTGATGTGCAGCAGGCTGTGATGAAGCCCCTCGCCCGTCTGTTGGGCTCGTCCGAGAGACTGTCATGGTGAGATGCGGGTCGGGCTCTGGCCCTGATGACATCCTCTGATGTGTCATCTTCTCTGACGCCTACACAGCGGCGTCGAGCTCATGTCTACCACCCTCTGCTGCACTGCTACCGCTGA